AAAAAAAAAAAAAAAAAAAAAAAGGGGGGGGGGGGGGAACAGAACCTCTGCAATACTTGAGGAATCCTGAAGCCATTTCCAAAGCACTAAATCAGAAAGTTGCCATTTAGAGTGTACAAGAAAATAACCATTATGTTCTTAAAAAAGATGCCAGATTTTATATGTTTGAACATGCTTAGGAGTCACTTTATACTGAAAAAATGTTTATTTTCAGTTCTGTTATTGCTTGAGTAAAAACTATGATACATGGAAGTTTTAAAATCAGAACCTGTATGAATTGTCTACCACCACCTAATCTAAGTAGTACTGGATTTCCACGAGCTGACACCACCTGAGCTAACATGAACCATTGTCAAAGGCAAAGAATACTTTGCTTGGGAATCCAAATAACAACAACTTAGTCCATCAGCACTTTTCCTGTTCTTCTTCTTGTAAAATGACTCAACCTTTTTTTGACAGGTGTGAGTATCACTGGCATTCTTGCAGCTACCCACCTGTGATTGCTGTGGGGTATGCGATAATAGGGCTGTGCGAAGCTTCGGTCACTGATTCAATTCAGCAGAGATTCGGCCCGATTTGATTTGGCCGAACCGAGCCACATCTCCAAATCCAAACTGAATCAGTAGACCCTCTAATCTCTCCAAATCAAATCAGAACCCTCCAAATCGATTCCAAGAGATTCAGAAAGATTTGACAATTCGGACATAGACAGTTTTAAATGTTTTTTCTAGATACCTCAAGGTGCCAGATAGCTCGTGAATGCTGCGATGCTGGGGTGGATGGAGTGTCCCACAGGAGTATGGGGGATCCCCAGCATGCTTGGCAGCAGACCCAGAAGAGGACCAGAAGCACTTCCGGTCCACTTCCAGGTCCACCAGGGAGTATGCTGGCGGGCCCCCTTGGACCCGTCTCCAGCTTGGTGACTGGTGCCTCCTGGGTCTGGAGGGGCACCCAGGGTCTGCCGGTGGCCAATTGCTGAGCTGGAGGGAGATGCGGGGAGCCCCACATGCTCAGCGGCAGACCCAGAAGTGGACCAGAAGTACTTCTGGGTTCACAGCACGTAGGGGCCCCCCCTGCACTCCTGTGGGACGCTCCATCTGCCCCACCATCGCAGCATTCATTAGCCACGCCTGGTACCTCAAGGTCTGTAGAAAAAACATTTAAAGCTGCATCTGTGGCTGAATCACTGATTCTCCAAATCATCTGAATCTGAAGATTCGATGCTTCGACCAAATTGAATTGGGACAGTGATTTGAATCAATAAATCGAATCACTGTCCCCAATTCGGGCCGAATCCAAATCCAAATCAAATATGGTCTTTTTTAGCACACCCCTAACAGTCAGGCAAAAAAAAGGCTGGGAGAAAATATGAGGATTGCAACAAAGAAAAATCAAGAGGGAAATAATCTTAAAGCTTAAGAGATCCTTTCTAGGGTGTTCTCTTGGTTGACCCAAGGCAGCCCTTAGAAATATATGCTTTGTTACATATTGAATTTAAACCAGAATAACTCCGATTACATTTTTTAAATATTGATAATTTACAGTCATCTCATATTTAGCAACCTTGACCAACATGACACAGGTTCACCATTAGAAACATGCTGGCATAGAATAAAATTGAAATTCTACAGTGTGGCTTTATAACTGGCCATTGTTAAAATACCTCTCTCCATTGCCTTTTTTCTTTTTCTTATCCTTATCCTTCACTTTCTTGTTTGTTTGCTTTTCCTTATTTTCTGCCTCCTTTTGGTCTTTGGTAGCAGCTTTTCTGTGTCTCTCTCTCTTCCCACTTGGTGCTTTATCCGATTCACTTTTCTCACCACTGTTTTTCACTCGGCGATTTTTCTTTCTAGTGAGTCTTTTTCTCCGGAAAATCTCATCTTCCTCTTCACTCTCATCTACTGCCTTATTTTGCTGATTCTTCTCTTGTCTGCTTGACTTGATTGCTTCCCTTGAGCAGGGCCTTTGGATTGTCTCCTCTTCCTCCTCATCTTCTGTAATACATGGTGGAGTAGTAAGGGTTTAATTCCTTTCCTGAGGGTTGACATGATGACATCAACAGGAAGTTGTCAGCCACCTTTGCGTGTGTGTGAGCAGTTGCAAGAAAGCCCTTTTGAGAGAAAGAAGTATCCCTGCCTTTTCCTGAGCTATGAGATAGCACACATGGAACTAGTCCTTTTATAAACACTTAAACACACGGTGTTAACATAGTAAAGATTTGCCTGCCATATAGTGAATAGTGCATGAACCCTTTCTGACCTAGAGCCCACTGAAATAAATGAAAAGGTGCCCATTTGTTTTCATGGGCTTTGGATCTGGCTTATACTGAGAATCAGTTTCAGCACTTGGTTCAGCGCACAGTTTCCATTAGCAGTAATAATAGTGGGACATAAATTTGGGCATCACTGAATGGAAAGTGACCCCAACAGCTAAAACTAGCAATCATTTCTATAATAATATTTTTTTTTTAAAAAAAATACTGTTGTTGAGTAAGCAAGCATGAGCATTTTCTTGAGCTTTCAGTATGATAGAACTGTGGAAGCAAAAAGAATATACGGTAAATGAAATACTGTATTTTTTCTTTTTATAAAAATTGTAAGTTAATATTGTGTGCAAGAAAGTTGCTTAACGGCTATGCTCTGAGATAAAAGTTCCTATATTTCTATACAGGACAGAGACACTTCAGGCAGCACTGACACAATCTTTTTTATCCTTTCCCTTCAATTGATTGTAACTGTTACTTGGAGGAATCATTTCCAAGGAGGAAGAGCTAGATATTCTCTCTGCTCAATCTACTTGTCATTATCAGCAAGACCACCAATAAGTGCTACTTGTGATAGATATTATAACTTGTCAATATATGGAATATAGTTTTGAAATAAATCTTTGAAATTTAAAATTGTTTTGCATCATTTAACAAGCTTTGAAAGTAAACTTTTTTTTCCAATGATTAATTTTTTTTCCCTGAATGTTACTAGTTTTCCTTTCTTCTACTCCCGCTTTCTGCCATTAATTATCACTAAGGGTCTAATCGATTCACGATTCCATGGATTCTGTGGAAAACATGAAATATAGAATTGCCAGCAAAATCAACTTAAAAAAAATAAGATCTTAATAAAAATAAAATGTTCTCTCCCCAGTGCAGGTAGGTGGGTGGGGGAGAGGGAAGAGGAGGTGCCAGCTGGCAAGGTGGCACAAAGGCAGCATTCACCTCACTGAAGGCTACTCCACCTGGATCCAGCTACACACAAGATGGTGGCTGCCCCTTCATCCCTCCTCCCCTGCAGGTGCATAGGAGCCTACCTTAATGGATTTTTACTAAGCTAAACATAAATTAGTATTTCTAAACTTAGTTTGTACAAATCTACGTATAATTTGCTTTGCTGCGTATCAGATATAGGCACATCCAGGCAATAGCCACAGAATTTGCTATTTATATCATGATCAACCCACAAAAACTGTTTAGTTGCTCCATTATTTAAGTAGATCCCTATCAATATTTGTTTAAAACTTTCCAGCTATTGAAAAATTACAGTGATCAAAGCAAAGATGAAGCTTTAGTTCTACTTGGATTAATAGTTGGAGGAATTTGTAGAAGATAGATTTGTGGATGGAAAAGTGAAGGAGAAAAAAATGAGGAATGAATAGTCCTAAAACCTCTGGACATAACTGATTCTCCTGTATTCAGTGGCACAAGAGAAAAACTGGAGAAAAGATCAAAACTAGCAGAGAGTTCAAAATAATCAGTTTTTTTGTGTAGGTGGATATCTGGAATTTTTTTAATAAAGCAGAGTGTGTTTTTTTAGGGGTGCACCGATAAAAAAAAATTTTGGCCAATACCAATGGCCAATTATTAACCAGCCGCATTGGCCAATATGCAGCCCGGCAGCTTAGAGAGCAGCATACGGCAGATAAGTCTGTGAGGGTGGGGGGGAAGGGGTGTGGGGAGAGCCAGATAGAGGCCCCCATGGTGAGGGTGAGAATGAGGCTGGGGCAGTGGAAGAGGCAGGGGCAGGCACTGCCCAGCTGGGGCAGGGCATGGGATAGAACCATGGGTGGCTCATCCAGGGGGCATGGGAGGGTACGGAACCTG